AAAAAAAAAAAAGATGCAAAGAAATCACGCGGGATAACCTTGGCCCATGCCATATGCATCCATGTATCCAGCATGAGCATGATGATGATGATGATGGTGACCACTACTTATATCTTCACCAAATGTCTCGTCGAGATTCTTTTGCATAGGTTTTTCCAAAACTTGTTTAGTAACTTTCGGTAATGAAGAAACGAACTCGTAAATCTTGTCAGCTACCTCCTCGGCATTTTGCTCCTGAGTAAACAATTTTTTTTGCACACAAGTAGGATATTAGTAGCAATTGATTGTTACATCACCAGTTGAAAGAATTTTATTTATAATCTGCTTAAAACATATATATATCTTGGTTGGTTCGATTGTCTTCAATGCAAATCTCAATATTAATCAGTTATCAGCTACACCAATGATTGGTAAAGGTCCATATTGAGTTCAAACTGATTCGAGCATAGAAAGGAAGTTAAAAACATGCAATCACTGTTATAACAAACACCGTGAATTCTTGAACTCGCAAGAGATTACAGAAAAATTTGCTGGTCTAATTTCCTCTTCAGGAGACAGATCACCTCTACATTGAATAACTCAATACAGAGACATTATGTCACTTAAAAGTAAATAATCTACATTGCAAATTAACAAACTCCAACAGTTACTTAATAAAGCGATATAATATTACCAATTTACCACAAACTCGCCACTTTAACTCCGATCATATATGCCTCGCCTAAAAATAAAGCTAAAAAGAATTGGAAGACATGGTGGAAATGATAAATAAGTTTCTTAATAACCAAGGACATATTTGTTCACTAAATAGCCTTCTATCTTGCCATGGAGCTCTAAAACTTCAAGGATATTTCTTAATCATATTATTGCAACACACCAGATCCCACACGGTGGCATTTACTGCAGTTGGGGCTGTCTGCTTAAAATCACAATACAATTTTGGGGTACATCTAAAAAATGATAGTTTACAATGATTTGAACTCGTAAATATTCCATGATTTCAAGATTTCTACCTACTGAAGGGGCTCATGAGAAAAAAAAGATTAGCCGCTAGGGCTGCAAACGAGCCGAGCAGAGTCAAGCATTGGTCGGATTTTTTTTTAAGCTGCTTGAGCTCGTCGAGCTTGATTTATGAGGCTCGAGATCGAATCGTTAAAAAAGTACAATCGCTCGAGCTTGACTCAAAATCAAAATGCTCGAGCTTGGCTCGAAAATTTTAGGTGGAAAAATAAAATTACCATTAAGCAGCTATGCTATACAACCTATACTATTGTAATACACACACACACACACACACATATATATAAGAGGTATTTTAGTAATTTAACATATATCTCTAGCCGCTCGACAATGCAAAATATAGGCTCGAGCTCGACTCGAATTCGTGCTCAAGCCGCTTTGGACAAACTCGAGCTCGAGTCAAGCTTTGACTCGAGAGCTCGCGAGCCGCTCGGTTTGTTTGCAGCCCCATTAACCGCATATAAGAGCTACCGCAACATTCAACTATGGAACCACTATTGCAAACAAATTGAAATGGCTCAAATTTGAACTATTCTGATGGAGCCACAAAATCATAGCTCTGGCCTAGAGTGTAAAGAATTCAACACAGTGTAAAGCTCAACAATGTACATACTATATCTACTCTGCTCTATATACTATATATTCTCTACTGCTCGTGTGCTCAGTTTTGGCAGAGTGCAATACAGAATCTGGGGCCACATAATTCTTAGCCAACAATCTACATAATTCTTAGCCAACAATCTACATAATTCTTAGCCAACAATCTGGGGCTATATAGAGTGTGTTAAAACTTCCAAACTCCCAAAGGCATAAAACAAATAAAAAACTTAAATCAACAAACCAAGAATATGCCAATTGCTAAATGGAACAACAAGACAACTCGACAGAGATTCAAACGAACAATTTTCAAGAAAATGAACCACATTTATAGTTCACATGGAAATCATAAATCGTGCTCACCTGAGTCCATCGTCCAATTTCCAAAAGGCATAAAAAAATAAAAAATAGAACATAAAAAAACTTAAATCAACAAACCAAGAACATGCCAATTACTATATGGAACAACAAGACAACTCGCAGAGATTCAAACGAACAATTTTCAAGAAAAAGGAATCACATTAGTTCACATTGAAATCATCTATCAGGCTCACCTGAGTCCATCGCCCGCCGGAATGCGTGACAAGTGTAGCAAAAGGAAGGGCATCGGCAACTATTCGACCCTCATCAACCCATTTATCAGACCATATAACTCGGATAGGAATGAGTTTCACCTCGTCTAGATTACCCCATTCGGACAAATCAAAACTTAGATTCAACTTCTTCCCCATCCCAACAACTGATTTTCTTCCATCCCTACCCTTCAACAGCACCCTATGAGCATCAACCTCAACCCGGGCCCCACCACCATCAGCCGATCCCATACAACAGCTAGCAACAATTTTTTCAAACACAAACGAAGAGCCCAACACGAGCTCCCTAACAAGAGGCAGCTCGAGTAGCAAGAGTGGAAATGCGGGCCCACCCGACCCACCATCAAGAATCGTCAAGCTTCTGATTGAAGCCCGATTTTCGGCAATCCAGCTGGCTGTCAGAGCCAGAGCCGAATCGTGAAGGACCAAGTCCACCGGAGTTAACCCCATCGAGTCCACCACCTGCCCAAGAACCCTCCCCATTTCCTCACTGCCCAACTCAATGGACTTAACAACGTCCCTTTTCCTTACCTTCGAAGCCCTATCTTTATCGTTTTCCTCAAAGTCGACATAGCCTTGCTCGACAAGCTGATCAAACCCCCAGAACAAACCCTTCTCCTTGATCTCTTCGTACACTTCCCACAATCCGGCCCCGCCGGGATTATACTCCTCGCTTACAACAATGGATTTATCGGAAAATCCTGAGCCGGGAAGATCAATCGCGATGGCGTGCACGTTCCTGCGGCCTAAGGAGCCGACGACGTCCCGGAAAGCAAAAGAGCTGCAGCCTAGACCGTGCACGATGAGGACATGGCTGTCCGAGTGAGTTGGGCCTCGCTGGACAGAGAAGATCTCGACCTGGGGGAGATTGGGGGCCGTCTGGACC